TTTTTTTTCAATTTCCTCTTTTTTTCCTGCCCCCAAAGAATCGAAAAAAAAGGAAATGAGACTTCCTGAAAGAGCGAGAAAATTGATACTTGGCGAGCTTTGTTAACCCGTATTCGTCTCATATTTTTACTCAAAAAATAAGAGTTGAAAAACAAAGTCATAAAAGGAGAAATGATGATGTTTTGAGGGTTGGAAAAGGGAGTAAACAAGATACATGAAGGGTGTCAAAAATACGGAAATTTGAGAGAAAATGAGAATGTGCTAATGAGATTTGTAGGAAAGAAATAAATGAGAAGAAGGAAATCAGAAATTGGGATCAGAAGCGTTGTAAGCAAAAAGTTTGGATTCTACACAAGTTCCCACTCGAAAAAAACCCCAGTTCCGAGCGATTTTTGAGTTTTGAAACCTAAAAATTCGGATTTTACGCCTTAAAAAACCTATAGAACACCTGAGGAATCGAACTTATCCACCTTCTGCTCCAAAGGCAGCGCGCTACCCGGCTGCGCCATGTGGGCATTACCCGCCTTCGCAGTGGGTGCTCGCCCGCGGCGTCCACTTGGCGCAGCCGGTTAGCGCGTTGGCTTTGGAGCAGAAAGGACAGAAGTTCGAATCCTGAACTCGGTAATAGGTTTTTTGGGCGTGGAATTTGATTTTTTAGAGTTTGAAATACTAAAAAATCGATTAAAAATCATTTTTTGCATCGAAAATTGGTTTTTAGGGATTTCAAACACTTTAAATCTGATAATGATAAGTCTGAAATACATAAACACCATCGTTCTATTGTTTTTTTTCCAGCAAATGGTTCTGGGTGCCAATCGTCGGACCATTCGTCGGAGCCGTCGTCGGAATCTGGTTCTACTACTTCCTCATCGGATTCCACACCCCACAAGACGCCGAGGAGAAGTACGTCGTGCTCACCGGAAACCAGGAACTCAAGCCACTCACCTCCAAGGAGTAAGTTTTGTGCGCTAGAGCGCATTTTCAGAATTTTATGAAATTTGAATTTTTCAAACTTTTCAGCTCGGCTTAAACAGTGCAAACTGTGTGTACTACGTAAGCTAAAACAGTAGTTTATAGAAAAAGCATGGAACTAGAAATTTACATTTAGAAATATAACATTTGCAAACTACAAAAATCGAATTTTTTCAAATTATATTTTTCAGCGCCACCGAGGAAACCGCCTAAACAACGACACCTTCAAAACCCCAAAATGCTACCCAGACCTGCCTGAAAATCTTTTTTATCTCTCTTTTTTTCTGAAAAATTTGAATTTTGAAAAAAAAATCAATCCCAAAACTAGCTTTCGAACAAATTTCTCTCACCAAAAAGTTCTTTTTTTCTAATAATTCTCGCTCATTTTTTCATGTAATTTTGATTTCGAGTTTTTAAAATAACTCAATTTGAAATTTTTTGAAATTTTGGTCCCAAAAAAACTAATAAAGTATTTATCTTAAAAACTGGTTTTTTTTCAAACCATGTTTTTGCCCAAAATACTGTAAACACTCTAATAGAACGCCACTGAGACTGTTAACTTTGAGCCCATATATCTCAGTTTGTGTGAGAGATATCAAAAAGTGGTTAACTAACAAATTGTTTATCATAACATCAGCAATATTTTATCAGTTGACCGTTTGTTAATATCACTCACAGAAAATGAGATACACAAGCTCAAAGTTGACGGGTTCGGTGGCGTTCTATTAAAGTGTTTACGGTACATCATCATGTGATTATTTGTACACATAGACACACTGATATATATGCAAATATATATTTTTTTGGGCAAAAATATACAAAACACGATGCAAATGTTTTTGTAATGTGGGAAAGAATATTTGCTAACAGAAAAAAGTGGAAAACTTGGGACAAAAAATGGAAAATGGGATTTTTCCGAATTTCAGAATATCAATTTCAGAAATTCGGAACAAAAAAGGTTTCTGTGGTTCTGTGAAATCGATAAAAGTGGTTTTCAGAATTTTAGATCCTTTGAAATTTCAGCTTTATACTGTGAAACCTGTAATAGAAGGCCCCCTAATTTTCAAATTTGAGCCAATTTATCTCGGTTCCTGTAAAAAATATAAAAAAAAGTTGCCAACTGATAAAATGCTTATCATAATATCAAAAACATTTTATCAGTTGACACATTTTTGATATATTTTATAGGAGCCGAGATAATACTTCGCAGTGTGGGGGGCCCTTCTATTACAGGTTTTACGATCTCAATTTCCCCGAAATTCAGAATGAGGAAGCGAAATTACAGATTTTCAGAGCTTTAGACAATCAGATTTGAAAGAAATCTTGAATTTCAGACTTATTTATTCAGAATTTCAGAGTTTCAAATTTTCAGAGTTTCAAATTTTCAGAGTTTCAAATTTTCAGAGTTTCAAATTTTCAGAATTTCAGAATTTCAGAATTTCAAAATTTTCAGAATTTCAGAATTTCAGAATTTCAGGATTTCAGACAGGGAAAAAACTTCATAAGTGTCAATTTCAAAACTTTGAAAGCCTTGAATAGTTAGAAGTTTTAAAAATACCGTATCCCCTGTAATAGAAACCTACCCAAATCGTCAAGTTTGAGATCAATTGTCCCGACTTCTATAAGCCAATAATATTGCCAATATTTTATTAGTTTACAAGTTTTCGATATCTCTTACAGAAATTGAGATAATTGAGGTCAAAGTTGACGGTGGGCTTCTATTAAAGAAAACACAGTAATCCAAAATTCAGCGTCCACGCTGTGAATTTTTGAAGCCGAGTCTCTTTTTATGTTATCACAATTTTTAAGCGTTCTAGACTCTTCTACAGCCTTCTGGAGACCCCGTAAATCATACCCATCATGTTACTTGCACTCAAAAAGTACAATAAAACAACAGACGTCTGCCTACACCTAATCCATCATTGAGATGTGTATCCTTTATGGTACAAAGAGTGGGGGTTCAGATAAACAGTGACAGCTCAATTCGCACCTTTCAAGTATTCCGATTAGCACTAATATGCCTCTTCAGAACATTCTGACCTGTTTTATTGTCCTTCGGAAAACGCTGATATCGTATTTTCTCTAATAAAAGTTCAGATTCATTTTCTCGATTCCTGTAAAAGATAGCAAAAATTTCTCAACTGATAAAACATTGGTGATATTGTGATAAACAATTCATTAGTTGCCCACTTTTTGATATCTTTCACAGGAATCGAGATAAATTGGCTCAATGTTCAAAGTTTGGGGTCTTTCTATCAAAGGCTTTACAGTAGTTCTGGAATTCCTGGTTATGGTAATTCTGAAGTTACTGGTTACGGTAGTACCGAAATTCTTGTTTACGGTTGTTGTAAAATTCCTGGTTACTGTAGTTCCGAAACTCCTGGGGAGCCCATATTCATAAAACTTTGAAAAACTATCATAATTGTTCTGAACCTCCTAATGACTTATGAAATCGTTTCACATCTTTTTTTTTAACTTTTCAGGTTTTTTAGAACTCTAGAACCTTCAGAAACCCTTCCGAACTTTCTAAACTCTTCTAGAACCTTTTGCCACCATCTAAAACCATCCAAAACTTTCTAAAATTTTCTAGAACCTTCCAGAGCTTTTTGGAACCTTGTTTCACCTACTAGAATCTTCTAGATCTTTTCAGAGCTTTCTATACTTTTCTAGAACCTTCTAGAACTTACTAAACCTTTTTAAAACCCTCTAGTACCTTCTAGTATCTTTCAAACTCTTTTGGAAGCTTTTAAAATTCTGTAGAACCTTTTAGTTCTTTCTAGAACCTTCACAACTTTTGGACAGGCTGAAAATGCTACACAGTACATCTAGAAGGTCCTAAAGACTTCAGGAACGTTCTGGAACCTTTCAGAAGTTTCTAGAATCTTCCAGACATGCTTTGTAGCATTTGTAGTCTGATGAGTAGATTCTAAACTTTTCTAGAACCGCACCAACTTTAAAACGCTTCCCAGCCTCTTTTCAGATTGTTCTCCTATTTCTCAGCATTGTTACAACCCTATCCATCATTCATTAACATCATTATACACCTGTCATTCAAATCTCCAAAGACCCCACACCGCCCATGACCTGACCCCAACGACGCGCGCACTATCTCGATTTCCCTGAAGAGCAGATAATGGGCGGTCCGCTCTTATTGTTTGGGTTGCGTTGCGGTTGCGTAACGTGCACGCGGTGCGTTCCGCGCGCGCTCTCGGTGTCATTATGCATTCATTCATACTGTCATTTGTGCAGTGTGCAAGACGGGTCGTCTTTTTTCTCTCGTTTCACGTTTATCCCTATTTGTGTTGGCTCATGGAATCTTCCCAGTCTGTCTGATGGCCTATTGATCTAGCTCTAATGGTCCTAAAGTCCTAAAATCTTGCTATTTCAAACTATCTAGTCCTGTCGAGCGTTTTCAAGGTTTTTCTAGCTTTCTTGCCCTATCTTGTCCTACCTTGCCCTATCGATAGCTCATGGAACATCCTGGTGCTGTTCTGTCTAGTGCATCTTTCTATTTCATGCCATCGAACCCCAAAACCATGCTAGTTTGAACTATCTGGGCCTGTCTAGTATATTTGAGCGTTTCGGGTATTTCTAGATTTTTATTTCTTGTCCTAGCTTGTCCTAGCTTGTTATAGCTTGCCATATTTTGTCTTAGCTTGCCCTATCTTGCTCTGTCTACATTGTGCTTGCATATCTAGCTCATCCTAGCTTGCCCTAGCTTTCCCTAGCTTGCCCGAGCTTGCCCTAGTTTGCCCTAGTTTGTCCTAGTTTGTCCTACCTTGCCGTAGTTTCTCCTAGCTTGCCCTACAATGTCCTATCTACATTGAGCTAGCATATCTAGCTGATCCTAGCTTGTCTAGCTTCCCTCAGCTTGCGCTAACTTTCCCTGGCTTACTCTAGCTTGCCCTACCATGTCATATCTGCATAGTTCTAGAATATCTAGCGTACCCTACCTTGTCCTAACTGGCTTAAATTCGACTTACCTTGCCGTATATTGCCCTATAACTCAAATTCAACTATTTCCAGATATGCGTCTCCTTGCTACTCTCCTTCTTCTTGCCACCACCACCCATGCCTCAGTGCTCGATGCATTCCGCGCCAACGGAATCGAGTTTGAGGTCTATGGCGAAGGACGTCTGATTCCGGAGAAACAAAACTGCGTTCCATATACTCTGGATCTCAACGAATTCATCAATTCCTTCAACACCAACAACATGAACGAGTATAGCCGTGATCTTCTCCAAAAACGAATTTTCACCTCGTTCGACGCCATCTGCCGCAAGTTTCATATCCAGGTGACCAGCAAGCCGCCAGTCTACAATTTGACCGAGGATAGAACCCAAATGAGATATTTGGACTATTTCGACTATAACTGGAACTCGTTGCGATTCGAGAGAGACTTGAAGTCGTTGTTCTTGGAGCACAAAATCAACAATCCGTTCCTTGACACTGTATCCCAGGAGGCCATCAAGCGAGCTGGAGCCACCGATGTGTTGGATTTCTCTCAAAAGACTACGGTATTCCCAAAGATGTGCAATGTTAAGCAGATGACTGTGGACACGATGATTTGCTTCAACATTTCCGATATTCCACAGTCTGGAACTATTTATGCCGTGAGTTTTGGGAATCATCCAATTTTCATTGAAACTAGTCAGAATTTTGATTTCAAACGTTTTTCATCGTTTTGAGCTCATTATCTGCGACAAAACGAGCTCAAACCCAACTAGGCTCCGCCCATTTCAAAATTTCACCTAGGCACGCGACAAAAAAATCAAAGTGGGCGGAACCTGCCCGCGTTGGGGCTCATTTTGAAGCTTGTAAGCTCAGAATGTGTTTTAAATACGATTTGAGAGAAAATAATCGATATTTGAAAAGTTAGAACAATTTTTAATTTCTAGCTCGCCCACGGAGGAGAATTCTTGCACAACGAGGAGGTCTACGCCTACTACGACATTCCACATTTCGCCCTCATCACTCAACAAGCCGTCATTCCGATCGAGTTGGAGAAGTGCAAAGTTTTGGTGAGTACAAGAGATCTGACTACTTCTGCCTAGGGTTTAAATTTATAAGGCGAACCATTAAAGTTGGAAATTGGAAATTCGGGTCCATCCGCGATCTGCTAGCATGAGCAAACTTTCCGCTCCAAATTGAATTGAGTTTTAGAGAACACTCTGTTCGGGCTCTTCTGAAGCCGATTTTTTGACTCCAAATTTGAAATTTCCGCGGACAATGTCCCTGGAGCCGCTACTTGCCCGCCATACTCATTTTGGCGCCAAAATGAATTCCCGAAAGATATTTACAAAAATTAACCGCTAAATTTGAATTTTCACCATGATGCTTAACTTACTATCGTTTCGGAAACATCAAAAAAGACTCGAGGATTCAAGTTTCGCGCTTTGACTTGTCCACTAGGAGTAAAAAACACGAAATCTTCAATTTTCTTCTTTTGTTTGAAAAATTCGATTTGCATGATTCCTAGCCATTTTACTCTGAAAAATCGTATTATATGCAGATTTGCAACCTAAAAATTCAAATTTCTCGCGTCGATTTGTCCACGAGGAGTACGAAATCCAAAACTGATTGAAGTCCCCGATTGGTCGAATTTTAGGTCATTTTGAGAGGGAATCTTCGAATATATCCAAATTTTATTTCAAAACATTTTGAAACTTCGGGTTCTGAAACGTCCAGGATCCAATTTTTAAGACTTTTCAAACATCTTCTAGTCTTGAATCGATGTCCAAGTCTAGAATTTCCCGCTATTTTCAAATTTGAGCACCTATACTCCCCCCCCCCCTCCGGGCAACCCATACCTATCAATTTTCAGTTCGGCACCTACATCTACTGCTTCGAAGAGTTCGACACCCAATGCGACGTTCGCACCCTCTCCGACTGCCCAATCTACGCCTACAAGACCGACGACGACTTTGTGTTCCGCAGAAACTTTGGCATCGGATACATCTACGCGACCACCGAGTCCGAAGTGGACCTCTACCAAAACGGAACCCGTCAAGTCGTCCCAGGTCGTGTCTTCGTTCTCAGAACCAACTACGAGACCCCAGAGAATGGAGTGCCAGTGATAATCCCAGAGATGACTCCACATCAGGAATCCGAGAAGAGCCTATTCGCCGAGCTGTTGCCAGAGTCCCAGAAAATCCTCAAGTCTGGAACACCGACTCGTTTGTACACAACACAAAGACGTGGCGTCAACTTCCTCAGCCATAAGCATTTTGACCAAGGTGCCTGGGAAACGGTCCGCGACTTCTTTGGATTCTAAGATCCTCCTGTACCTTTTTTGAGGTCAAATCCTCTTTTTCACCTTCCCCATTTTTGTACACCCTAACAGGTACCAGACATATCTGTATTTATTCTCTATCCCTACTTCCATCCTTTGTACTTTTTATATTTTCAAACTGGTTTTGAAAATAATAAATTTTTTCGAAAAATAGAAAATCAGGTCTTCATATTTTGAAAGGAAAAAAAAGCTGAACATCTTCAAGCCATCGTAACTGGTCTTTTCTCGATCCATTCCTTAAGCTTCGGATAGTTCATCACACGATCACGCCAAGCGAGAATCTGCAAAAAATATATTTTTGTTAAACTCAATTATCTCGGCTCCTATAAGAGATATCAAAAATATGTTAATTAATAAAATGTTGGTAATAATATGGCAAAAATTTTATTAGTTGACATATTTTTGATACCTTTTATAGGAACTGAGATAATTGAGCTCAAATTGGAAGCGAAAGTTTACAACCTCTTAGCTCACCGAAACTCCTTTGAGCTCAATTATCTCGGCGGCTCACATAAGAGATATCAAAAAACTGTAAATTGATAAAATGTTGATGATAGTCTGCCAATCATTTTATCAGTTAACGAAATGTTGGTATTCTCCAGAGAAATCTAGGTAATTGAGTTAAAAGTGAAAGCATGTTTATGACCGCGCAACTCACCGAAACTCCTTTGAGCTCAATTATCTCGGCTCCTCTGAGAGATATTGAAATCTGTACACTAATAAAATGTTGATGATATTATGATAAACATTTTATCAGCTCACACATTTTTGATATCTGTTATGGGAAACAAGATAATTGAGCTGTAATTGGAGGGACTAATTTTTAAAACTAAAAAAAATGTTCCAAAAAAATTCCGTACCTCCGGATACCCATCTGCATACTCTGGCTGCCAATTAATCAGCGTTGTCATATTATCAATGATAATCAAATCAGCAAAAGTGAGTCCCGAGTCCACCAAAAATCCCGACTTGCTTTTCTTCAAAAATGACACCAAAAGTGCCAGAAATTTGTCTCTGGCCGGAATCAAAACTTTCGTTTTCTGCTCGTCACCATCTAGTTGGTTGATTCCCAGTTTCGCATAGAAATAGTCGTGGATTTCCGAATAGAAATCTTTGAATTGGTCGACGAAGGCGTCGACCATCGCTTGTTCTTCTGGTGTCGCTCCGGAGAAGCCTGGAAATGATGGAAATTGGAAAGTGATAAGATTTGCAAGAAAAGCCATTTTTCCTCCAATTGCACTTTGAGCTCAATTATCTCAATTTTCGCAGTAGATATCAAAAATCTGTCAACTGATAAAATATTGGTGATTTTATGAAAAACATTTTATCAGTTGACAAATTTTTCATATATCTCAAAGTAACCGAGATAATTGAGCTCAAATATAAAATGGAAAAAAAGTTCAAAACGGTACCGCTATACTTTGAGCTCAATTATCTCAACTTCTGTAGAGATATCAAAAAATTTATCCACAGATAAATTGTTTATCATAATATCACCAACATTTTATCAGTTGACAAATTTTTGATATCTTTCAAGGGAACCGAGGTAATTGGTCTCAAAGTTAACGAACTTTCAAAACATAGCGAAATTTCAAATTCCCGCCAAACCACACACTCACCAAACTTGCGCGCCAAATATCTCGCAATTGCCATTGATTGAGGTATCTCCAATCCATCAACAGTCAAAACTGGCACCTGTTTGAACGGAAATGTGTCTTTTCTCTCCAAAAATTGGTCCCGATTGAGACGCTCATCCTCGAATTCGACACCAGCCAAATGGAAAAGTTGACGAGAGACATCAGCCAAGCCACGCGACAAAAAGTAGGTTAATTTGTAGTGGACCATTCTGAAATTAGGGAGAAATTTGAACTATCGTGATACCTGTAATAGAAGGGCCCCTTACTGCCAACTTTGAGCCTATATATCTCGATTCCTGTCAATGATAGAAGAAAGTTGTCAACTGATGAAATTTTTGCCATAACACCAAAAATGTTTTATCAGTTGACACTTTTTTGATATCTCTTATAGGGACTGAGAAAATTGAGCTCAAACTTAACGTTACAGGTTTTACGGTATTTTGTAATAACGAAAAAAGTAGGCCAATTTTTGAAATAACGACAATGACGAGTGTTTATGTACTCCGTACAATGATGACAAATGATAAAAGACAGAGAGTTAGAGAGAAGAGAATTAGAGAAAAAAAGATAGGAAATCAAATATTCAGAAGGAATGATGATCATTGAAACAGACACACAGTATTGCTGAATTTTGAACTTTGTAGTTAAAAAAAAAACTTTGGAAATTGAAAATTCAATTTCCCGCCAAACCAAGTTCAATTACTGTATTTGTGAAATGAAAAAAAAATCAATTAAAAATCAAAATATAATTTTTTCACAAATTTCATGTCCCCCGCCCAAAAAATTTCAGATTTGCAGATTTTCAATCGCTAAACGACAACTGAACAAGACGAAAATCAATTATGACTGATTACATGGTTGGAACAGGTGTCCATGGAAAATTTCAGATAATTTTGTTTTGGCTGAAATGAAATTAGAGAGTGTACCTGAAAATTGAATCTAAAGTTTATGTGTAAGTTTCAGAAGTTCAGAATTTCAGAATTTCAGATTTTTCGAGAAACTTCTGATGGAATTTCGAGATTAGGATTGATTTTCAGATTTTTAGGAATTTCGATTTGTTAGACTTCTGATATTTTTGTTTGGATTTTTGAATTTTTGGAAATATCAAAATGTTCGGAACTTTTTGATATTTTGGATTTTGGGAGTTTCAGAATGTCAGATTTTCAATTTTCAATTATTTCATACATTTTCAGAATTGCTAGAATTTCAACTGTTTTTCAAGTTTCACAGATTTTCAAAATAATTGGAACTTCAGAATTTCAGATTTTTCGAAAAATTTCTGACCGAATTTTGGATTTTCAGAATTTCAGAATCTCAGAATCTCAGGATCTCAGAATCTCAGAATTTCATAATCTCAGAATCTCAGAATCTCAGAATATCAGAACCTCAGAATCTCGGTACCTCAGAATCTCGGAATCTCAAAATCTCAGAATCTCGGAATCTCAAAATCTCAGAATCTCAGAATCTCATAATTTCAGAATCTCAGAATTTCAGAACCGCAGAATCTCAGAATCTCAGAATCTCAGAAACTCAGAATCTCAGAATCTCATAATCTCAGAATGCCAGAATCTCAGAATCTCGGAATCTCAGAATCTCAGAATTTCAAAATCTCAGAATTACAAAATCTCAGAATCTCAGAATCTCAGAATCTCAGAATCTCAGAATCTCAGAATCTCAGAATCTCAGAATCTCAGAATCTCAGAATCTCAGAATTACAAAATCTCAGAATCTCAGAATCTCAAAATCTCAGAATCTCAGAATCTCAGAATCTCAGAATCTCCGAATCTCAGAATCTCAGAAACTCAGAATCTCAGAATCTCAGAATCTCAGAATCTCAGAAACTCAGAATCTCAGAATCTCAGAATCTCATAATCTCAGAATCTCAGAATCTCCGAATCTCAGAATCTCAGAAACTCAGAATCTCAGAATCTCAGAATCTCAGAATCTCAGAATCTCAGAATCTCAGAATCTCAGAATTACAAAATCTCAGAATCTCAGAATCTCAAAATCTCAGAATCTCAGAATCTCAGTATCTCAGAATCTCAGAATATCAGAATTTCAGAATCTCAAAATCTCAGAATCTCAAAATCTCAGAATCTCAGAATCTCAGAATCTCAGAATCTCAGAATGTTGTCAAAAGCTTCCAACTTTCCCTATTTTCAGAATCATTGAAACTGCTATAAACTCTCAAAAACAGCTGAAAGAAGTCCCAAAAAACTTCAGATTCCTGGAAAAATTTCTAACAGGCCCAAAAAATTTCATTGTAATCCATCAAAAATTATTCTCTGTTTTTCAATCAATCAGAAAATATATGGGAAAATTAGATTAGTTTTTCTCCGGTTCTAAATAACTTTTTTCGACAATGGAAATTGATTTTTTAACTTGAAATTTTGAGAAATCACCAATTGCTCAGCCTTCCCGGCGTTTCCTAAAACCTACAGTAACCCAAAATTCCACCTGCTCATTGTTGCTGAACTTGTGAAAGAGGGAGCAGCTGGAAAATTCCTTTTAATCTAGTGACCTGTGATTTTCTTTGCCAAATTTAGTCATTCTTTTTTTCAGTTAGACCTGGTGTTATTTTTCCAGAGTTTCCCTGGTTTTTTAAGCCTGAGAAGGTCTAAAAACCACTTTTCAGGTCAATTTTCAAAGCTTAAAACCGAAAAACTCAAATTTCACACCTCGAAAAACCTATAAAACCCAGCAGGAATCGAACTTCACACCTTTCTGCCCCAAAACTAAGCTTCTTCCCGACTGCGCCACATTGACACCGTGTGCTGGCGGTCGGCTCGCGTGGCGTGCATGGCGCAGCTGTGTGGAGCGATGAAGCGAAAAAGAGAAAAGTTCAATTCCCTTTGGGTTTATACGTTTTTTGAGGTGTGGAATTTGATTTTTTGGGTTAAAAATCATGAAAATCGGCCTAGAAAATTGTTTTTTGGCTCATTTTTTTTTCGAATTTTTCTCTACTTTTCGGTTCCAAACAACGTTTTTTTCAGCCACAGCCAACCTAGTAGATAAAAACCATCCGTATCACCGTTTCGTTGTCGTCATCATGAATCTGGTGACGACACGTGGCGGATTGATACTCTTGTTGCTTCTGGCAACACTTGCTACACCGGCTAAGGTGGTTGTTAAGGACGTGGATACGATAATCTACGACGATTATACGCCAGGTGAGTCTACAGATTGGGAAATTCGAATTTGCTAGGTTTTTAGCTTCAAAATGAGTATAAATACGCCTGGGGAGGTTTTGAAGTGATTTTTAGAAGGCTTGTTTGGTCCATAGTTTTTTAATATCCAGGATTTTCAAGTTTTTTTGTGTGAAATTGAATTTGCCGCGTTGAGAGCTTTAAAATGAGTATAAACATGCCTAGATTTGCGGGAACTTGAATTTTTGAACTTTTCTAATGCTGAAAGTGATTTTTTGCCCATAACTAGTCAGATTACGAGATTTCTCAGATTTTCAAAACAGTTTTCAATTAATCAAGTCGAGAGCTTCAAAATGATTATAAACAAGCCTATATTTGAGGAAATTTGACAAAATTTGGAAAATTTCTGGGTCCCACCACGAAAATCTGGATTTTCGAATTTCAACAAACCTAACCATGTTTATATTCGTTTCGAAGCTCTAAACATGGCCAGTTTGAAAATCATATTCTCAGTTGAAAATTTTGGGTTTTGGCTGGAAAAAAGGGGTATCAAACTTTCTGAAACGTCACAATTGAACAAAAAGGCTTCAAATGAGTACAAACATGGATTACTGTAAATTTTGTTTTCATTTCTTTGTTTTTTTTAAATCTACAGTACCCCTTGAAGTTTAAAAATGGGCGTGGTTTGAAAAAACTGCCAGGTGTTTTGGTTCCAATTGGCTCCAATTTTATTTTTTTTTTGTTTTTTTTTCCTGGAGAAAAAAATTACAAATTAAATGATGACCTCAATTTTATGTTTTTATCAATCCATAGAGAATTTCAGAAAAAAAATTTTTTGCCAAAATTTTTTTTCGGTGCTCAATGAGCAAGTTTGCTCAATTAGGTGTACTTCATGTCTCAGAAGAATTGAAAAGTGCGCAAAATTTTTTCACTTAAAAATTTTTTTTTCAGATCTGAAACTCTTTTTTTTCAGCTTTTTTTCAGCTTTTTTTTCAGCTAAGAAAAGTTTTAAAATTGAGAGAAACTTTGGAAATTACCGGAAAACCTGTATTAAAAGGGCCGGCCCTTCTATTGTTCCAAGGTACCTCCGGAGGGCCCTTCTATTAGAGGGGGCGGCCTTCTATTCTTCCCGCCAGTTTTTTCCGAAATTTCGCATCGAAAAATTCGACGAATTTTTGTTCAAAATTCATGAAAATCTGCCAATTTCACCAAAATTTAGCAAGATTCTTATCGAAAAAGGAAGTTTCAACAAATTTCTATCCAATTGTGGAGTTCCCGGAATATTTTTCACTGAAAAAGTACGGAAAATTTTTTCTGATTTCAAATCACATTCTAAAGAAGCTCTTTCTTTACAAGGGGCCCTTCTATTACAGGGGGCCCTTCTATTGTTCCAGCCTCCTCTCGGAGGGCCCTGAATTTTTGGAATTTTGAGTTTTTAACTTTTATTCAATTTTGGAAATTTTGAAAATCTGGAAATGTTTGAATTTATCTGAAATTCAGGAATCCAGAAACTCAGAAAATCAAAAACTCCAAAATTCAGAAATTCAGAAAGTCAGGAATCCAGAAACTCAGAAAATCAAAAATTCAGAAATTCAGAAATTCAGAAATTCAGAAATTCAGAAATTCAGAAATTCAGAAATTCAAAAATTCAGAAATTCAGAAATTCAGAAATTCAGAAATTCAGAAATTCAGAAATTCAGAAATTCAGAAATTCAGAAATTCAGAAATTCAGAAATTCAGAAATTCAGAAATTCAGAAATTCAGAAATTCAGAAATTCAGAAATTCAGAAATTCAGAAATTCAGAAATTCAGAAATTCAGAAATTCAGAAATTCAGAAATTCAGAAATTCAGAAATTCAGAAATTCAGAAATTCAGAAATTCAGAAATTCAGAAATTCAGAAATTCAGAAATTCAGCTTCTGAAATTTTGAAATTTTGAAATTCTGAGATTCTGCAATTCTGAGATTCTGAGATTCTGAGATTCTGAGATTCTGAGATACTGAGATTCTGAGATTCTGAGATTCTGAGATCCTGAAATTCTGAGATTCTGAGATTCTGAAATACTGAAATTCTAAAATTCCAAAAATTTTGAAAATCTGAAAATCTGAAACTAACTTCCAGAAACACAAAAATTCTGAAGTTCGGAAATTTTATGACTTTTAAAACACGTTTTGAAGGGGAGTCCTTTGTCACAAAGGGCCCTTCTATTACAGGGGGCCCTTCTATTGTTCCAACCTCCTCTCGGAGGGCCCTGCTATTAAAGGAGTCCTTTATAGGTTTTACGGTATATTAGCTCTTCTCTTAATAAGTAAAAAAATGGGCTATATTTTTTAAGAAAAAATTTTTAAAGTCCAGTTTCGGAAAATCCCCTGAATTCAACTTTTCTCTTTTCGAAAAGAAACGTTTTTTGTCTCGAAAAAAATTCTTCGCTACCTCATAATTAAATTTTTCCACCCAAAAAAATTTCTCTCTCATTTTCTCATTTTTCTGTTATATATATATATCAAAAACAAAACCAAGCCAACCTGAAAAGGAATTTTCTTATGACTCTCTCCGTTTTTGATCTTTGAAAAATCAGATTTTTTTCTTTACGTCACCAAAAAATTTGGCTTAAAGGCGCATGTTTATAATTTTTGTAAAGCTGAGCAATCAGTTAAAAAATCAGAAATTTTAATCTGATTAATTGATAATTATGAGAAAAAACAGTGGAGAGAAAAAAAGAGCGTGGGAAGAAAACTTTTCAGAAAATTTCAGATTTTTTTTTGGAAAATTTGAGATTCCTAGCTTCAGATTTTTTTGAAATTTTTTGTTTTGAATTTATTGGAAAATCGATTTCCCGACAATTTGAATTTTCGATTTACGGCTAATATCGGAAATTTCGGAAATTTCGGAAATCCAGAATTTTTAAAATTTGTGATTTTCAGAATTTCGGAATTTCAGAATCTCAGAATCTCAGAATTTCAGAATCTCGGAATCTCAGAATCTTGGAATCTCGGAATCTCAGAATCTCAGAATCTTAGAATCTCAGAATCTCAAAATCTCAGTTTTCTGAATTTCCGTTTTTCATGAATTCCCGAATTTTGGACTTCCGAAATTTTGAGTTTCAGATTTTCTGAAAACCTGAAATTTTGATTTTTCGAATTCGCCAGATTTTCTGAATATCCAAAATTCCTCAAATGTTTGTAAATCTGAATAGTAATACAGTTTTCTAAATCTTTGATTTTCTGGAACTCCTGGAATTTTCCATTTTTGGAGTTTCTGAATTTCTGAATTTCTGAATTCCTGATTTCAATATTCTTTGAATTTAAGGAAACACTTTTTTTTCAATTTCTCATCTTCTAACTTTTCCGTCAGTTCATATTCTACCGTAATCTGATCTATCGTAATCCTACCATACACCTCATAAAAACTTCTGCAGTAATCCACCATGTCTGTGGTCTCCGACGGTAGCGTCGTCGTCTCCGACGGCGTCGTGACGGATGGGTCCGACTTGGAGACGTCTACCGTTCTCACCACCATCCTAACTACCGTAATCTCCACGTGGACAACTCCTGGGATTACTGTAGACCATCATTCTACTAAATTTCCACCACCACACAACTGGACACCACCGAACACGACGACGAAGCCAATAAGTTTGTTGGGGAACCTGAAAATATATCTGAAAATTTGAAAATAGGAAATTTTATTAGAAATTTGAATTTGTCATTTTTAGAGCTTTAAAATGAGTATAATCACGACTAGATTTGCTTAAATTTAAAATTTTGGATTTTCGTGGTGGGACCCAGAAATTTCGAAAATCGTCAAGTTTTGAGTAATTTAGTGGTGTTTATACTCATTTTTAAGCTCTTTACTTGGTAAATTCAAAAATAACAAAAACACTCAAAAAATCCTTTGTTTTCAAAAGTTATGACAAAAAATCAATTTTCAGCAATTTTTAGAAAAATCAAAACTTTCAGTTTTTCCAGACTGTAACAGACTAACCCGGGACATGTTTATACTCATTTTGAAGCACTTGATGTGTAAAACTTGAAGTTATATTTAAATGTTGTGAAAATTCAGATTCTAACCAATCGTGGGGGCAAAAAGTCATTTTTAACTTTTTAAAGAAATTCGAACTCAAAAATTGAATTTTCCCAAAATTTTCAGCTTGCGTTTATATTCATTCTGAAGCTTTTTCCGAAATTTATTCAAAAATTTCATAAAGTTCTGACAGTTTTCCAGTTATGGACCAAAAATTGATTTTTAAGCATTATCCCAATTTTTCAATTTTTCAACTTTTTCCAAACCAATCCTTGTTTATATTCATTTTGAAGCTGTTGGTGTTCTTAATCTGAGTTTTCTTGAAATTTCAAAAATCCCATATTTTGACCAGTTACGAACCTCAATTCATTTTTGAGAATGGACCAAAAAAGTGAAAAAATTTCTAGTGCTGAAAATGATTTTTTGGCTATAACTCGTCAAAATTTGAAAATTTTGGATTTCTTCTATTATCTCTGTATTTACCGAGCCAATAGCTTCAAAATGTGTATAAACATGACTGGGTTTCTCAAAATTTGAAATTTTTGATTTTCGTGGTGGGACCCACAATATTCGAAATTTCAAATTTCCCCAAACCTGGACTTGCTTATACTCATTTTGAAGCTCTTCGCTTGGTGAATCCAAAAGCATGATAAACGTTTTGAAAATCTCATTTTTTGACAAGTCGTGGCTAAAAAACATTTTCCGCATTATAAAAATGAAAAATTTCAAGTTTTTCAAATTTGCACAAACCCAGTTTTGTTTATACTCATCTTGAAGCTCTACTTATGCCAAACTCAGTAGTTTGAATTGTTTCTGAAAATCTCCAAAATTATTCGATTTTCGCGGTTTTGTACTTTTTTCCAATGAGCAGATAAACTTGCTCAAAAGTCCGCGGCACTTTTCGCAACCTGGAATTTTTCATTTTTTTTTTCAATTCGTCATTTTTGAACACTCCATATCTCCTCTGAATCATAATTCCTATTTTTCTTAGAAGAACAAATTTCCAATTAGTGATTTCCACCCCAAAAAACACCTGTCCCACAAAAATCACAAGGTTTTTTTCTTACTGTAGAAAGAGAAGCAGCTGAAAATCTCAAAAAAAAACTTTTTTCGAATCAAAAATTTTTTTTCTCTTAATGTTATAACAACATTTGGCAGCCCCAAATTACATTTGGTCGAGTGCACTACGGTAGCGCCCATCGCACACCCTTATTAAATATTTTTTGGTTTGCTTGTCAAACAAATTCCAAGACAGCTTTCTAGCTTCATATATCAGGTTAGTGGTCATAGCAACTGAAAATTTTTTTTTCTCGAATTTACTTTTCAAATTTTCGAATTTTCGCGCCTAAAACTTATCCCTATTGATATCCAGTGAAACCCTCTGCGGACCCCGATCAAAGCATCTAGTGTAAAGGAACAACTGACACGAATTTTTGGGGTCCCCCCCCCCGGCCGTTTGAAAATTTTCCGTGCGTGTCTTCGCTCTGGCGGGATTCTGATATCCTTTACATATCAAAATTCTAATCAAATGACATGGATAAACTTATCGCCAGCTGGACCACTGAAACGTACCTAAATGCGTTGACCATTGCTACTGAGTATTTTAATTGGAAAAAAGGAGCGCAGGGTAAAGGTAAATGAGTTTTTTGAGGTCAAAAATTGGTGATGAAATTTTTGTCTCTTCTCTGGAGCCAGTTGTTGTAGTCTTAGGGGTCAAGTGTTGTGGGTTGAAAGTAGAAAAAATGGCTTGAAAAAGAATTAAATAAGTCGAACTAACCTAACTTTTAATCTTGAGCCAATTTATCTCGGTTCCCGTAAAAGATATCAAAACTTTATCAATTGATAAAATATTTTTGATATTATGATTAACATTTTATCAGTTGATCGCTTTTTGATATCTTTCACAGAAATCGAGGTATAAGTGCTCGAAGTTGACAGCTAGAGGGCTATTTTATCTCCAAGTGAACTTTTAAGGTTTGAGCCAATTTATCTCGGTTCCTGTGAAAGATATCAAAAAATGATTCACTGATAAAACGTTTATCACGATTTGAGTAAATTTTAACAGTTGACTATTTTCTGATATCTTTTACAGGAACCTAGATATATAGGCTCGAAGTTGACACACCCTTCTACCACAGGTTCTAAAGGATAGGCTAGCTTCCAGGGTTCATAACTCCGGACCCAGTTTATTGATTTTCTTCAAATTAATTTTTGAATTTGGCAGGTTTTGTAGATTGAATCATGTTTAATTTAATTTGTTTTATTTGAAAATAACAAAAAACGAGCCTGAAACCTGAAGCCACTTTTGGGAATGGCTCCCTAGGATCATAACAAAAACATCTTCAACTTTGAGCCAATTTATCTAGATTACTGTAAAAGATATTAAGAAGCGGTCAATTGATAAAATATTTATCATAAAATCACAAATATTTTATCAGTTGACACCGTTTCGATATCTTTTACAGGAAATGAGACATATGAGCTCAAAATTGATGGTCCATGTTGCGAAGGGCTATTGAAATTTTTTAATTTTGAAAATTCCGAAAAAGTGTATAGTTTATTATAATCATTTCCAGAGAAAAGCTGAAAATCTATTTACCCAAAAAATTTCATTAAACAGCAGCTGAAAATAATTTTAAGACCAAACTTTGGGAGTCGAAATGTTTGATTTTCACTTATTTATCGCAAAAACTACTAATAATTTCTTTTAGGAATGGGTAATACAGCTTCGGCGAAACAGGTCGCTGATCAGGTGGCTTATGGAATCGTAAGTTTTTTTTTTGAAATTTCATTTTCAGAAAGTCCAAAATTCAGATCGCCTGCGTCACCGTCGGCGTGCTCATCGTCATGGTGTACATGTGCATTTTTGGACAACGCTTGAAGGCCACTGGTGTCCGTTGGCACGTGCTGAATTGTAGTGTGTGGGGTATATTGCATCTGGTGGGTCTCAGAAATTTTGAAAATCCAATAAATTTGGATAAAAAACTAGTTTCTAGAGGGTTTTGAGCCCAGTTTAGATGTAAAATTCAAATTTTACACCTGCAAAAACCTGTATACCGCGGAAGGAATCGAACTTATGAGAGTTCAACTCCAAAGTCAACCCCCTTTCCGGCTGCGCCATGCGGGAGATGCGCGCTAAGGCATGGAAACGCCGCCACGCGCCTTCGCCCGCTGAGTCGGCGTGGCGCAGTTGGGAAAAGGGCCGACTTTGGAGCAGAAATACCGTAGGTTCGATTCCTGTCCAAGTGTATAGGTTTTTCTAGGTGTAAAACTCGAATTTTCAATTGATAATTGGGTTGGGAACCTCTCGAAATCAGTTTTCGCGCAAATTTTGATAATTTTCAGATCTCGTACTGTTCGTTCGCCGAAAAGGCCCCGTGGCCCAACTACATTACTAACCAAAACTGGCGAGACACTGCGAAGCAAGTGGAGTGCCTGACCCGATCCATCTTCCCAGCTGGTATGGTTTTCGTCTATTTGGAGCAAATCATCTTGACTCTTGCACCGAAATTGGCCAACTCCATCATTTTCAACGCCGTCTTCTTCGTACTTCTTGTCCCATGGCTCAACGGTCTCATGATCTTCTTGTACTATGCTCATGTGAGTCTGAAATGTTGGTCCCACCACGAAAAGCAAAAAATTTTGCGAAACCTAGTAATGATTATACTCATTTTGAAGCTCTCAAAATTTCCGATTCAAAAGTCCCAAAATTTTTCCAGTACATGGACGTTGTGTGGTGGTACGAGCCAGCTGATCTCTTCAACCTGGCCACCTATCTCCTTTTCGTCACATTCACTTTCATCTACTTCCTCTTCTGTCTGTTCGGAACTTGTCTTTGCTGCGCTACAATGGCTTCCAAGAAACAGTCATCGGTAAGGAAGTGTTTTTGGGGGTTTCAGTGGGGTTTAGGGCAAGAGAAAGTATCAAAAATGAATCTAGCGGTGTCAAAAACCTATAGACGTGCAAAAATCGAACTTATGGCTTTTCGCACCATGTTCGTCTGTGTACCTACTGCGCTAAGAGAGGGCTCCTGGCAAAACGGCGCGGTGTCCGTGTGGCGCAACCGGTAAACGAGGTGGACATGGTGCGAAAGGCCAAAAGTTCGATTCCTTGTCAGGTATATAAGTTTTTTATACCGTAAAACTCATTTTTGGCACCTATTTTGACAACAGGACCCTCTGAAAACCGATTTTCCAAACAAAAAAAACTCCAGCGCACGACCGGAACCTTCGCCGACATGTGGCTCCTGTTCCCATATGGTCTTGTCCCATCTATCATGTATGGTCCGTCGTTTGGAATGACTTCTGTCAGTTTTGCAATGCAACATCTTCTCACCTGGGTTCTGGAGAGTGGTCTGCTCAGCGGAGGCGGTGGCAGCTCTAGTGGAGACAGTATGATCGATATGAATCTTCTGATGCAAGTAGCCACTAATGCCATCCTCGCCATGCCCTGGTTCGTGCTCCTTTTCCCATTGGTTCAATCGGTTTTGGCGCTGGTCTGCTTGAGAATGTTCCGGGAGCAGGTAAGGGGGATTTGAAAAAGGCGGCCCGCGACCATGTCCTAAGTTTCTCAATTCGTACGCTGCCTTTGCCAAAAACGGTTTATCTTGGTTACTGTAAAAGGTACCAAAAAGTTCTAAACTGATAAAATATATGCGACAATCTGACAAGCATTCTATCAGTTGACAACTTTTTGGTATCTTTTACAAGAACCGAGATGTAAGTGGGGATCCCGTCTATAGCAGGGTTTGCGGTAACACTCCTAAGTAATAGGCCTGCTTTCAGAGACCATAACTCTGGGTCTGATTTTGCTGGTATTTTTGAATTTTTGAATTTTGGATTTGGCAGGTTTTGAAGATTGACATGATTTTAAATTCGACCCACTTACTTAAAAATTAGAAATAATAATAAAAAAACGTGTCTATACTTAAAATAAGGCTCATTTTTGAGACCAGATTTCTAGCCGTTCAGCTTCAAGCCGAGTTATCTCGATTACTGTAGAAGATATCAAAAATTTTTCAACTGATAAAATATTGATTATTTTATGATAAACATTTTATCAGTTGACCACTTTTTGATATCTTTCACAGAAATTGTGATGATTGAGGTCAAAGTTGACGGGCTCGGTGTTGAGACCCAAAAACTTGATTATTTCGAATTTTTTGAAATTAAAGCTCTGGCTTAGAAACCACAAAATTCATCATTTTTCAACCTTTCTCTTCCTCTTCCACCTCATTTTTTTTCTCTGAAAATGTCAACAAGTTGCTCATTTCTGAAAATTTTTGCTTTTGAATTCAAAATTTTGAAATGATGTTATCAAAAAACATGACATTTATCTTCTTCAGTCAGATGGAAAATATCATGTTATTCATCTGAAAAAATCAAATTACCGAGTGAAGTTTGAAGCCAAAATATGAAAATTCTATTGAGGGAAAAAACAGGTGTTTCAGATTTTTTCTTAATGGAAATTTGATTTTTTGGAAACATGATGATGCCAGGGAAGAGGGACTAAAAATGGAAGGGGAAAACGATTTTTTTTTGAAATTCTGAGATTGAATTCATCAGTAATCATTTTGAGATTCAGAAATTCAGAAATTCAGAAATTCTGAAATTCTGAAATTCTGAAATTCAAATTTTCAGAAAGTCAGAAATTCGGAAATTCGGAAATTCAGAAATTCAGAAATTCAGAAATTCAGAAATTCAGAAATTCAGAAATTCAGAAATTCAGAAATTCTGAAATTCAAATTTTCAGAAAGTCAGAAATTCGGAAATTCGGAAATTCAGAAATTCAGAAATTCAGAAATTCAGAAATTCAGAAATTCAGAAATTCAGAAATTCAGAAATTCAGAAATTCAGAAATTCTGAAATTCTGAAATTCTGAAATTCAAATTTTCAGAAAGTCAGAAATTCGGAAATTCGGAAATTCAGAAATTCAGAAATTCAGAAATTCAGAAATTCAGAAATTCAGAAATTCAGAAATTCTGAAATTCAAATTTTCAGAAAGTCAGAAATTCGGAAATTCGGAAATTCAGAAATTCAGAAATTCAGAAATTCAGAAATTCAGAAATTCAGAAATTCAGAAATTCAGAAATTCAGAAATTCAGAAATTCTGAAATTCAGATTTTCATAAAGTCAGAAATTCAGAAATTCAGAAATGCGGATATTCAGAAATTCGGAAATTCGGAAATTCAGAAATTCAGAAATTCTGAAATTGTGAAATTCTGAAATTCTGAAATTCTGAAATTTTGAAATTCTGTAATTTCGAAATTCTGAGATTCTGAGATTCTGAGATCCTGAGATTTTGAGGAGGGAGACAAAAAAATAATATGAATTAACAAAAAAAAGCAGAACCGAAAAAAATTTCCCTGGAGTATCAAAAATCGGCAAAAAATTCGGGGGGGTTTGGGGGGGGGGGGTACAATGATTCTGGGGTACAATTTATTTCATTTAGGGGTACAGTACAACGTTTGTGATTCGGGGGTATAATTTATTTGACGAAGTTTCTGAATCCCTGAATTTCAGAGCTTGAAAATCTCAGAATTCGGAATCTGAAAATTTCGGAACTCCAGAATCTGAGAATCTCAGAATTTCAGAACTTCGAAATCTCAGAATTTCACAACTTCGAAATCTCAGAATTTCAGAACATCAAAATCTCAGAATTTCAGAACTTCTGAATTCTTAGAATTTCAGAACTTTGGAATTCCAGAATTCGCAATCTGAGAATTCCGTAACTTCAGAATCTGAGAATTTGAGGATTTCGGATCTTCAGAATCTGAGAATGCTAAAACTTCAAAATCTCAGAACTTCGGAACTTCAAAACTTCAAGACTTCAGAATCTCATTATTTCAAGAAAGACAATGGAGAACTGTGAAATGATTTCAACAAATTTTACAAACGGATTTCAATACCAGTCGATACTTTCCTCACTTCCAAATTTTCTCAATTTAATTTCTTAATTCTTTTTCATTTCCTTTTGTTTCATAATATTCCTTCGTTTTTTTTCCCAATATTTCTTAATTTTCCTCAATTTTCGCGGCAATTCAAATTTTTCTCATGTTTAAATGATTTTCTAGATCATTGATTGAAAAGGAAACAATCACAATTTAGATATTTCCCACAAAATTCGAAAATCCCAAAAATTGGCCCAAAATGAGCTATTTTGTTTCGAAAATCGTTCGAACAGGCAATAAAACATTACAAAAACTATAAAATTGATTTTTTTTTTTTGATAAATTACCACGAAAATTTGAGCAAAAATGATGAAAAACGAAGGAAAACGGAGAAAAATGGGAATTGCGTAAAGATCTCAATTTCGCGAAACTTTCCCATGGAAGAGAAAACCCCGCTGCTCGGCCACGGCCATGGACTGATGACGTCATCGCTCGCAAATTTTATTTTTGGGATTTTCTCCGTTTTCCTTCGTTTTTCATCATTTTTGCTCAA